GGTCGTTTGGCTACAGTGGATCTATCAATAGTACATTTTGTGTTACTTCAATACACCAAAGGCTATGGATGTAAGTGTTTATTCTATTGACTAAATTACTTTTTTTCTGTTATTTTCATGTGTGTGTATTATTTTATTTAAATATTGTGTATGTATATGATTAAGCCGTGGTAACTCAGATGGTTAGCGCTAGCTGTAAATTTCACAGTACGCGACCCGGGTTCGATCTCCGCCAGCACCAATTAAATTGTTAATAGCAATTTTAAGTGCTTATTACCACGTGCTTGGTGGTGAAGGAAAACATCGTGAGGAAACCTGCATGTCTGAGAAAATTTCGAAGGCATGTGAAGTTCGCCAACACACATTGAGGGAGCGCGGCGGACATTTCCTTGCTCTAAAACCCTCTCAGAAATGAGAGGAGGCCTATGTTCAGCAGTGGACTTTAATAGGCTGTAACTTTAACTTTTTTAACTTTTATGATTAAGTGTTAACAAATTGATATTAACATGATAACTGTGTTGTTGCAGAAATCATTGAGCTTCGATGAAGATACCTATAAACAGTATTACTACTCGCCACTCTCCCCTCAAGAAGAGAGTGATGACCTCGTCATTAATAATAACACATGCGATGGTGGAAAAAGAAAATCGCAATCGATTGATCATTTTTTTGAAGCTGAACCAAAAATAAAAAAGAGGAAGGGAAAACTTCAGTGAAGTGTGCACCAGTGCTTTTTTCTCCACAATCATGGAAGAGAATACGGAACTATTCAATAGCGAATTAAATCAGGAGTTGTCTAAAGTTTGTGAAGAAATGGAGAGGGGTCAACTGTTCGATTCGTCATACGATGATGAGTTGTATCATCACTGTGCGATGGTTGAAACACAGTTTAAGTATGTAAAATAAACATTCATTTCGATCATAATTTACATATTGTCTTATACAGTTTTTAATAAATTTAAACATTTTAGCAGTCAACCACTACAACTTGGAAGAGGAACGAAGCGAACGTGCAGCAAAGAATCCAAGATCATCAAAAAACCAACAACGGAAGCAGAAGCGCATACCTCTGCAGGGAACAGTATCAGTAACGATGATCAAGTGGAATGTCCAACGTGCCATATATTTATCAAGAAACGGTATTTAGCTAATCATTTTAAAAGTAATGTTCATAAAAATAATCTTTTAAATTCACATAATTCTTTATCAAACGTTAGTGTTATTGAATCTGCTTTTGGAAATAGGATTTTAACTTATAAAATCAAGAGTAGAGTAGATCGTTCGACATGGGTAAATTTTGAAACTCCTGAACTATTTTTAAATTCTATTAAAGATGATATTTTATTTTTATTACAAGAGTGTATTCATCAACACATAATTTTTAAGGTAAACTTCATATTGCATGCTGATTTTGTTCAACAAACTAAAGATATTCATGATACGTTCGATTTTCAAACGCTTAACTATATTATTTGTCAAGGAGATGACTTAAATATTTTTCTTTCATCTTTAAATGATACAATTACTACTAAAATTAGTGCTTTCGAAAAAAAAGATAGTGGGTGGAGTCTAAAAAACATAAAATCTATAGACATGAATGTTAATAAATTTAACCCCCTACGCGGTACTTCATACATAGATCTTCCTCGTGACATAAAATTAAAAAAGGCTGTTATAAATGTAAAAAACAAGGATTATTTTTGTTTTAAATGGGCGTTACTCTCGGCGTTATATCCTGTAAACAAACACACCGATCGGGTATCATCGTACGTTAAACATGCAAATAAACTTAAATTTGATGGTATTTCCTTTCCGGTTAAAATTTCTGACATAGCAAAAGTAGAGAAATTAAATGATATTAGTATTAATGTTTTTGGGTTAGAATATAATAAAGAAAAACGATGTAATTCTATAGTAGGTCCATTATTTTTAACAAAGTGTCGTAAAGATAGACATATCAATTTATTATTTTTTTCCAAGGATACAAAAAATCATTATTGCTATATAAAAAATTTATCGCGGTTAGTTAGTAAACAAATTTCAAAAGACGGTCACATCATGTACATTTGTGAAGCATGTCTACTTCGTTTTCCATCTCAGGAAAGGTTAAATAACCATGAACAATACGATTGTGCTCACATTTGTACAGTATTACCAAACAGTGAAACTTTAAAAAAAAAGAATTGGTTTGGTCAACCTATTTCAAATGATAAAATTAAATTTGATAGTTATGAAAAAAAGTTAAAGATACCATTCGTAGTTTATGCTGATTTTGAAGCATTTTTAAAACCAATAGAATCATGTTCTAACGATCCTTCCAAACCTTTCACTCATAATATTCAGAAACATGAAGTACATAGTTTTGGATATTATATAAAATGTTCATATGATGATAAATTATCAAAATATGTAACATATTGCGGACCCAACTGTGCACAAGTGTTTATGGAAAGTTTATCTAACAATCTAAAAGAAATAAATAGGCTTCAAAAATATCCACCACATCCGCTAACAAATGAAGACAAAAACCAAATTTCAAATGCAACCATTTGTCATATTTGTGAAACTGAGTTGGCAAAACATTTTTATGATTTTGATTGGTACACTGGTAGTTTTATAGGTGTTGCTCATGAATCATGTTGTTCGAAGATCAGAACACCTAGTTATATACCAATATTTTTACACAACCTTAGTCACTATGATGCTCATTTTATTGTTCACGCGTTAAACTTTTGTGATGGTGAAGTCGAAGTTATCCCTCAAAATAAAGAAAAATATATATCCTTTTCCAAAAAATTAAAAGTGAATAACCACGAAATTATATTGAGATTCTTAGATTCATTTAAGTTTTTATCGTGTAAATTAGAAGAATTGGCCAAAAATCTCAGTAATGATCAATTTCAAGAATTACGTAGAAATTACCCTAATGATGAAGATTTCTTTCGTTTAAAACGGAAAGGTGTTTATCCATATGAACTTATGACTAATTATGATAGTTTAAGTCTAACATCGCTCCCTGAACAAAAATGTTTTTATAGTTCACTCACAGATTCACATATTTCAAATGATGATTACAATCATGCTAAAGATGTTTGGGAACATTTTGGGTGTTGTAATATGCTAGATTATTCAAACCTATATTTAAAAACAGACGTTTTACTTTTATCCGATGTATTTGAAAACTTTAGAAAGTTATGTATTAATACATATGATTTAGACCCTGTCCATTATTACACAGCACCCGGTTTAAGTTGGGATGCAATGTTAAAATATACAAAAATAGAATTAGAACTTTTAACAGATTATGAGAAAATTGCATTTATTAGATCAGGTATCAGAGGTGGTGTATCTCAATGTAGTAATCGTTATGCTAGAGCTAATAACAAATACATGGAGGATTATGATACAGGGAAACCAAATTCATATATCACATATTTTGATGCCAACAATTTATATGGTTGGGCTATGTCTCAATATCTTCCTACTGGTGGATTCGAATGGGTAAATCCAAATACAGAATTTAATGTGTCTAAGACATCAGACTTCGGTTTTATTTTAGAAGTTGATTTGGAATATCCAGATGAACTTCATGATTTACATTCGGACTTTCCTTTATGTCCAGAAAACATTTGTGTAGGCAATATTAATGAGAATAAACTAGTCCCAAATTTAAATAATAAAGATAAATATGTAATTCATTACAGAAATTTAAAGCAGTGCATAGAAATGGGGGTTAAATTAACTAAAATTCATAGAGTTTTAAAATTTAAACAGTCTCCCTGGTTGAAAATGTACATAGATCTAAACACAAAATTAAGAACTTTAGCAAAATCAGATTTCGAAAAAGATTTTTATAAATTAATGAATAATTCAGTCTTCGGTAAGACTATGGAGAATATTGAAAAAAGGGTTAACATAAAATTAGTTACGCACTGGGAGAACCAGGGTAAAGCTTTAGGTGCTCAAGATCTAATCGCTAAACCACAATTTCATAGCCTTTCAATATTTTCGGAAAACCTAGTTGCGGTTCAGTTGCGAAAAACGAAGTTAATATATAACAAACCAATTTATTTAGGGTTTTGCATTTTAGATATTTCAAAAACATTAATGTATGATTTTCATTATAACTATATGATTAAAAAGTTTAGTAAAATCAAATTATTGTATACAGATACGGATAGTTTAATATATCATATATTTACAAATGATTTTTACACTGATATAAAACCTGACCTTTCATCATACTTTGATACCTCAGATTATGATACAAATAATATTTTTGAATATCCAAAATTAAATAAAAAGAAATTAGGTTTTTTTAAAGATGAAAATAATGGTAAAATCATGAAAGAATTTGTGGGTTTACGATCCAAAATGTACGCTTTTAACTTAGAGAATAAGACTATAGCCAAGGCAAAAGGGGTAAATAAATGTATCACTAAAAAGATGACAATGAATAGTTATAAGTCTTCTCTATTTAATAAAAAAGTGCAATATTATAGTATGCTTAGATTTAAATCAATTAAACACACAATTTTCACACAAAAATTAAATAAGATAGGTTTATCATATAATGACACAAAGAGACATATTTTAGATAATAATATTGAAACATTAGCTTGGGGTCATTATAAACTGCGTTAAGTGTTGATTTTTACTTTTATGTCTGCGTTTAAGAAAAATTTATATTGATTGTAAAATTATGATAATACTATAATATGACGTAGTTTATTACATATTTAAACATTGTTTTATTGTAAATAATTTAAGTTAATTGTTGTTTCTATTTATTTGAGGTTGAGTTAATTGTAAAATTATGATGTACTAATTGTTGTTTCTATTTATTTGAGGTTGAGTTAATTGTAAAATTATGATGTACTAATTGTGTTAGAAATAGTATACAGATAATTCTGTTTTATATAATTTTTGGAATATATATTAATTGTTTACACCAACACTTTCATTTTTTATTTCACCCCTTTGAACTTTAGACGTGTGTTATGTTTCACTTTATCCATCCGTTCACTGCTATTGTGGCAGGACCAAGTGGGTGTGGGAAGTCAAATTTTGTAACAAATTTCATAAAATCAGTTACAGAAATATGTAATTGTGATTTTAATCAGATCACATGGTGCTTTGATGAAATGCAACCATTATATAATTTACCAAATGTTAACTATCATCAAGGAATTCCAAATCTTAATATGTTTGATGGTGAAAACCCACATCTTGTTATTATTGATGATCTAATGAGAGAGTCCGATGGAAGAATTGTGGATATATTTACAAAAGGTAGTCATCACAGGAATCTTAGTGTATTTTATCTAACACAAAATTTATTTCATCAGGGTAAAGGACAAAGAGACATATCTTTAAACTCAAGTTATATAATATATTTTAAAAACCCTCGAGATAAAACTCAAATAAGATATTTAGCAAGACAAGTATCACCAGATAACCCAAAATTCATTGAAAATGCCTACAGGGATGCAACTCTAGAGGCACATGGATATTTAATGGTAGATTTTTTTTTTTTTTTTTTATAGGATCGGGTGACAAACGAGCACACAGTCCACCTGATGGTAAGTGGTCACTGTGACCCATAGACATCTACATCTATCCTCAATAAAGACTCAAGATGCAGATGCGTTGTCACCCGTGAGGACTAAGATGGAATGCCTCTTTGCCAGTAAAAAGGGTCTCCGGTTCTCTACACTCACCATACGAAACACAGCAGCGTTAAGCTGCTATTTTACGCCGGTTTTCTGTGAGAGCGTGGTCCTTCCCCGGTCGAGCCGACCCATTCGTGCTACAACCATAATATAGCTGCAGCATGGCTCTACCACGTGATAGAACGTGGTAGATTTAAAACAGAATACCAATGATTTTTGTCGTATCAAGACAAATGTCTTTCCATTTAATGGTTTCTGTACAGTCTACGTCCCCACAAAAGAGTTTAAATACACCAAGAATCAAACAATTGAAATCATTGCTAAATGATGCATCGTCGACTCACAACGTATAAACATTTGCTAACCGCTTTGCATACGCTTAAACCAAAATATCAAAGAGCATTACTTAAAACGTGTGATGAAGAAGAAATTAACTGTATTTGTGAGTGTATTCATAACGTTTTACAAGGAAAAGTACCTCTTAAAGATCAGGATAAACAAAAATTGAATAAACATAAAAACATACTCCGTAAACTAGTACGTAAGTGTAAACATAAACTAAGAAAAAATATAATTATACAAAAAGGAGGGGCTTTCTTACCAACAATATTAGGTGCAATATTGAGTGGATTAGTGAGTGGACTAGCCAGTTAACATGGAAAATGCAAAGAAAATGATACTTATCGAACCTGGATTGATTGAAAAATTAAAACAAGAAAATAAGGTTAATAGTAATTTATCTCGATTAGATATTGAAATGCAAAATATTATGAATAGTAAGACGGAAGACCGAAAGAAATGGATATTATATTTACAAACACTGCAAAGATACCTTCATTTTACCGAAGAGCATCGTCAACCACTCAAATTACCAATTTATTCTGATACATCTAATGAAGATTCAAATGAGTCAAAAATTGGTTTTAAAAATAAAGATAGAGATCTAAAAACTTCAGTTGATATTGAATCTTTGCTGGAGGAGAATCGATCCATTAAAAGTAAAGAAAATGATGAAAATCCACTTTACACACCAGCTCAAATACTCAGTTTAATATCAAAAACTTATCATAAAAAAGGGCAGTTATTATTAAACTTAGTTGAAACAAGTAAAAGTAAAATACATTGGGATAACGAAGGTACAGTCATAATTGATAGTGAAAAAATTCCTGGAAGTAATATTGTTGATTTAATAAATGATTCACTAAGACCCCTAAAAAGAAGTGATCCGGTAGGGTGGGTTAGATTTGCTGAAGCATTAAAAGATATTAAAGTACCACTTACTTATATTGGAAATCCAAGGAGATGTGAGTTTATTAACCAACTTCAAGCAAAAGATCTGAACAAACCCTCTGAGATTGAAGTTCAAGAGTTTTCTACACCGTGCAGTAGAGATAAAAAGTCTACAACTAAAATACGTAAAGGACTTGAGTGGGAAAAATGGACTCCGTACTAGAAGAAATTAACAGGATTTATTATGATCCATCTAATCCCGCTGGTTTTGGTAGTATTGATAAATTATCAAAAGCCATGAAGGGTAAAATGAATAAAAAGCAAGTAAAGGAATGGTTAAAATCACAAGAAACATACACATTACATAAACCCATTCGAAAAAAATTCCCGCGTAATAGGTACATTCTATCAAATATTAATGAACTGTGGCAAGCTGATTTAAGTGATATGCGAACTTATTCTCCATATAATGATGGTTTCAAGTATATACTTTGTATTATTGATGTATTTAGTAAATATGCTTTTGCAAGACCAATGAAAAAGAAAAACTCAGAAACAACTAAAGAATGTTTTGAAAGTATATTTACTGAAAGTAATTTAACACCTACTCACATACAATCCGATAAAGGTACAGAATTTGTTTCAAAAGATGTACAAAAATACTTTAAATCCAAAAAGATTAATTACTATACCACTAACAATCCTGACATTAAGGCCAGTATTGTTGAACGATTTCAAAGAACACTAAAAATGAAAATGTGGCGTTATTTCACCATAATAATACTTATAGATATATAGATGTTTTACAAGATTTAATATACTCTTATAATCACAGCTTTCACTCTAGTATTAAGATGTGCCCATGTGATGTAAATTCCAACAATATTATGACAGTTTGGACTAATCTTTATGATAGACGGTCAAAAAAACTTTCTTTAGAAAATCCTAAACCAAATTTCAATGTGGGTGATTATGTTCGAATAACTAAATATAAACATGTATTCCAAAAAGGATATGAATCAAATTGGAGTGATGAAATATTTATTATATCTTCAATAATTGATAGATCTCCATGGGTTGTTTATACAATAACAGATTTACAAAATGAACCAATAATTGGTACTTTTTATGAAAGAGAATTACAGAAAATCACTTACAACCCCACCTCACAACATAAAATAGATAAAATAATTGACACTCGTTATTCGGGTAACAGAAAAGAAGTATTAGTGAAGTGGAAAGGTTATCCAGATAAATTTAACAGTTGGATTTTAGCTTCTAGTTTAAAAGAAATATGAATAAAGAAAGTTTCTATTTAACTTTGCTCAGCAATAGTTCAATGGAATACTTTCCTGATAACAAGACCACAAATTTTTCAACGAAATTACCAAAAGCTATAAAATTAGAAGGTGAATGGTCGGTTGGAGTTGTCGAGTTTCAATATCCATGTACCATGTTTACTGTTCAAGACCATGAAAATGTTATATACATTACAAAATCTATGTTAATGCCTAATGAAGATAAGCCATCCACAGTGTACTACAAAAAACATATTCCAGCTACCAACTATGATAACGTTGAGCATATTTTAAGAGTGTTAAATGGTATCGGAGAGAACTTGAAATTTCGCTATGATGAAATAACAAAATTTGTGTCTATTTCGGTATTGGATAAAAATATAACATCCGTAACATTATCACCCAAATTAAGTTTACAGCTAGGTTATGAACCAAATAAAAATCTCCTAGAGAGAAATTTTGGAAAGTGTCCTGCTAATTTACACTTAGGGTTACCATCTCAACTATTTCTATATTGCGACATTATCGATCCTCAGATTGTGGGTGATGTTATGACTCCTTTATTAAGAGTCATTTCATTAGATCCTACAAAATACATTTATGGTGCAAATAAAATGCACGTTTTCTCTCAACCTCACTACTTACCTGTTATGCGAAGAGAGTTCGATACGTTGGAAATAGTTATAAGATCGAGTACAGGACAAAAAATACCATTCCAGTTTGGAACCGTGTGTATTAAACTACATTTCCGAAAATTATAATAATGAATTCTCTTCGTGATCATCATAAATGTCCATATGAAAATTATTATACACATCAAGCTGGATCAGGAGTTGGAGTAATTTATAAGGGTTCACCATATCAACGCGGTCATGGTATTGGGAGCTTCTTAGGGGGGTTATTCAGATCAGTTTTACCTTTACTTTCAAGTGGTGCTCGAGTGATTGGTAAGGAGGCATTAAGCGCTGGAGTAGGACTTTTATCGGATATGGTTCAAGCCCGTCCTATGGAAGCCTCAATAAAAGATCGTCTAAAGCAAGTTAGTACGAATTTAAAACGAAAGGCTGATGAGAAAATTGATCAATTTAACATGACTGGATCTGGGTATAAAACTAAAAGAAAACGATTGACATCGTTCATTCCACCATTAACTGCTAAAGTGAAAGCTGCGAAAAAACTTAGTCTAAAACCAAAAAATATCAAAGATATATTTTCAAACTAAATATGTCTTTCCTTCATAATCATTCTTGCGAGTGCGTTAAGTCAGAATTGGATTTGTTTGCACTACCGTCTACACAAACTAGCATTGAAAATGGATTGTGGATTCATTATAAACCAATTTCATCTCTTGGTGATGATGGACCTATCGAGTTTCAAGTTCCTGGGACCGGCGATGACTACATAGATTTGTCTCATACATTACTCCACATAAAGGCAAAAGTATTAAATCAAGATTCAACTAACTTGGTATCTACTACAATAGTAGCACCTGTAAATAATTGGCTGCATTCACTTTTTAGTCAACTTGATGTTTATTTAAACCAAAAACTTGTATCACCACCTAATAATACCTATGCATATCGAGCATACATGGAAACCCTTTTAAACTATGCCCCTGCTGCTAAACAATCTCATCTTACTTGTAGTCTTTGGTATGAGGATACAGCAGGAAAAATGGATTCTACAGATGGTAAAAACATAGGATTTGTTAAAAGACAGGAATTGATTAGTGAAAGTAAGGAAATAGAAATGATTGGTCATCTTCACGGTGACATTTTTAACCAAGATAAATTTTTAATTAATGGTGTTGAAATGAGTGTTAAATTGGTTCGATCAAGAGAGAGTTTTAATTTAATTGTTGGATCAAACGATGTAAAGTTTAAAGTTTGTATTACGGACGCAACTCTTATTGTTCGACGAGCACGAATTAATCCAAGTGTATTACTCGCACATCAAAAAGTTTTAGCTTCTACCACTGCTAAATATCCTATTACTCGAGCTGAAGTAAAAGTTTTAACAATTCCTTCGGGTGTTCAAGGAAAAACTCTTGATAATATATTTTTAGGACAGGTACCGAAAAGATGTATAATTGGATTTGTGAACAATTCTGCATTTAATGGTTCCCTTACTAAAATCCATTTAACTTTGAAAACTATGGTATTAATTCTTTCAGCTTATATATTGATGGTCAACAAATACCTTCAAAAGCTTTGCAACCATCTTTTAATAATAGCATATTTACATCAGCATATCATACTCTATTCTCGGGAACTGGTATTCACTTTCTTAATGAAGGAAATGGAATCTCTTGTGAACAGTATGGCAAAGGTTACTGTCTATTAGCATTTGACTTAACTCCTGATTTATCAGCTAACTCATCAACTCATTGGAATCTCATAAAGCATGGTAGTGTAAGAATAGAAGTACGATTTGAATCCTCATTAATACAAACAATTAACTGTATAGTTTATGCTGAGTTTGATAATATTATTGAGATAGATAAAAACAGAAATGTTACTGTAGACTATAGTAGTTAAGGTTATAATATGTGTTGTGTGTTAGATTTTATGTGTTATGTGTAATGCATTTTGTGTGTATATAACTATGTGAAACGTTATAAAATTAAATAAAACAAATTGTATGCAATATATTTTTTTTTATTTCTTTATAAATCTTCTATTTAATCTAATACAAAACACTGTTCGAGTTGAAATTTTACATAAGCACACTGACTAAACCACTGAACATGCTGCTGCCAAGGATCATCATCATCTTCCCAATCTTTTAAACCACCACCACA